TCCCTACCTCTGTTCCTATCCCCTTGGCAACAACTGTGGCCACCGAAATCCACTGGCTTCCTGTTAGTCCACTTGCAGCATCTTATTCCCCATCTTTGTGCCTGTAGATTATAGGTCAGACTTATCACATGAAGCAGTGGGCATCGACCTTGGTCTCAGAAGCTAAAGAGATGGGGAGATGATGCAGGAACCATGCAATGACTAGCACAAACTCCAAAAGGGCAATTTTTGAAGGAGGACAGACAATGTAGGATCGGGCGGGGGGATCTTACATAGAGTATGATCTAGGATCGGATGCAGTTCCCAAATTCTCTTGCTGCACAGCTGACTGCCTCCTTTAAATTACCTTCTTTTTAAAATTTCTTCAGTACTTCTGCATATTCCAACATTTCCCCTCACTGCTCCAATATCTTCAGTCCCACTCCAGCATTTCTTCTGTGACACCTGCTGCTTTTGGCAAACCCCATGTTTCCCAGTACTTCAAGGCCACCCCCATGCAATTTCCCCTTGTTTCTAACCACTCCATGCTCCTGGAAGGATGGAAAGACTTTGGAGTGGTAGTGTGTCTATGAGCCAAAGAGGTGGCAATTTATCTTCTTCCTAGCCAGCCAAGTGACCAGATTTGGAAATCAAATGCATATTTTTGGTATTTTGGTATATCCAGGGGAACTATACTACTTGATATATAGTGCTCCCTACCTAGGTGACTACATAGTCCTCCTGACTAAGCATGCATGAAATCAGCCATATCCTATATATGTGCCCCTGATGGATTTATAGTGAGCTCAGAATCCTTAAAACAAAGTTGTCCACAACCTATAGATATCAAATTACCTATGACAGAGGGAAAAACTGTGCATGGCTTTCCCTCATTCACCCCATGGTTTTTATAGTCACTTGGGTTGCTGGAGGTCTTGGGAAGGATTTGAACCACAGTCCTCTTTTACTTCCCAAAACAGCACTTTAATCACCAAGCCATATGTCAGGCAGCCCCCTTTCATTTCTCCAGCATTTCTACAATCCTTGTGGAGAAAAAAGCCTGGAGGACAGTGGAGGGAGAGAAAGCATCTACCTAACTGGAAACAAGTATTCAGTGCCATCCTTCCCCCTTCCTTCTAGGTTAGCAGCCACATTTGTCTTGTTCCTTTATTCCAGGTGCCAAATATATCCCATAGTCTTCCTGATTGTGGCTGCCCAGTAGGCCAGCTTCAAAAGGAGTGCCAGAGAACAGTGCTTATACTGGCAGCAGGGGGAGCAGGGTGGAGTAGTGGGGGATATGGTCTCTCACTCTCATTTTGTTGTAGCCATGCAGTTGTGCAGGGCCGTGCATTCAACAATAGAGTACCCCCAGAACACTTAAGTACCACAAGTGCCCTGTAGACACCAAAACGATCATTTAGATGATCAGGAAATGAAGAATGTCTTCTAAATACACAGCCTAAAAGCAGGAAGGGAAAGGAGAAGGTGGAAAATAGAGCCCTTTTCCCAGCTGTGGGCCAAGTATGTGAGGAAGGGGCTTATACAGCCACCTGCAGTACTGGAGGCTCACAGAAGTTCAACTCATTAGAAAGGAAAATTATCTTGAATGATCATTTATGCTAATAAGGGTCAGTGCTGAGGGTTGCACAGGCTCTCAGAAGTTCTGCAGAACTGTAAGAAATAAAGTTTGGCATGTGGGGAAGACCCCTCATCCCTATGTCCCTGCACTGAATGTGTGGCAGGCCAGTAGGGGGTGCTCCTGCATTGAGCCACCCACCTCACCATGCCTGACCACCTTCCAGGCTCTGAGTGCTTTCCTCGGGGTGCCTCACGTCCAGCCCACCCCCTTCCTGTAGCATACCTGCAAGCCTGAGGGTAACGCTGCCACCACCCAGAGTCTGGACTGATCTTGGACCTCTGTCCCCTGAGAAACACAAGCCTAGCAGTCCTTGAGGGTTCTTGACCCACTGCAAGAACTTGGGGTGCTTCCCTCAGTCTAATGCACAAATAGGGGTCTCCTTTAGTCAGTAAAACCAAGGGGACCCAAAGGCATGGTAACCAAATTGTCAGATAGCAGAGTTTGGGGAGAGACAGATGGTATTCTGCCATAGCATGTCCATGTAGGGGAGCGTGTGGGGATCCCCACATCCCCCACCCTCCCACACACCCCACAAACCTCACACACACACACACCCAACCCCCCAAAATACATGCCCCAAAATAACCTATGCCCCCCACACACAACCACACCCCCTGACATACCCCTTCACACACCCTACCACACCCTTCCCACAATATAAAAGAGTAAGACTTTATTTTTGAGTTATTATGCAATCCCTTCTATAAACAGTACACAAATACAAATCATGACAACCATAGCAAAAGGTTGAGTCCAGAGAGCCAGACAGTGCTCGGGCTACTGAGCCAGCCGACAGGGCCGAGCCAGAGGCTGCAGGAGCCCAGTTTCAGGGGACAGCATGCCCCCCCCAAGCCCACTGCAGGTGAGAGAGCAGCCTGATGAAGAGGATGAGGACCACCCTCCAGGCCTGGGAGCTGTGAGTTGCAGGGAAAAGAGGATTCCTACAGGGGAGGGGAGTTCCCCCCCCCAGTTAGTTAAGGGCTCCTAAAAGGGGAGGTCCCACTGAGAGGGCCCCCCTAAAGTTACCAGCTTCTTTGTAGGGCTTGGGAGGGCATTGGGGTTTCCCCTCAGGATTGTCTATCTTTGAGGTTTATCTGTTTCAGATCAGATACTTACCTGGGACTTACCTGTATCTGGAGCACTGGTATAAGGTTTTATGTCATTTACCCAGAGGGTATTGTTTATGTTACTGGTTTAGATATCTTATAAATGTGTGTATATATGTGTGTGTGTGTATGTGTGTATATGTACATATAAATGTTATATGTTATATGTTAAATGTTATATGTACATATAAATGTTATATGTACATATAAACATATGTACATACAGTGTACATATGTTTATATCCATGTTCCTTTCCCTTGTGATAACTATATACACATTGATTTACATTAACTTAAGTCCCCTGGCTGTCCTGGCCTCGTTCTATAGGGATGGAGGGAAACTGAGTGGTCTGCATTTCCCACCCCACACCACCTGCCAGCTAACAATCCCCTTCAATTGGAGAAGGGGAGTGTATACCCAAGTTACCAGAGCGCAACTCATATTAGACATTGGAAGCAAACCCAGAAAACTTTGGACTTTTTGAGCAAATTAAAAGCAGCACTGTTAGTTAAATAAATGACATATTTTACTGTATATCCAGATATGATCAAACAATTGGGTGACACAAAAGGAAAGAAAAAAAACTGGAGATGTGTGTGTGCTGAGAATGGCATTTGAATGCTTAAATTTACCACAAGTTTAAACAATGAATTGATCCCACTAATTATAACTTATTCTGTTTGCCTGTAGGTACATCTTTTGCTACCCGATACAATTTGCTTTAGACGTTCAGCAGATTTAAACTGTTGAATAGCTCACAAGTAATGTCTGATCCCTCTATCTAGGATGGGTTTGTAATGCTGAAGGAATGGAATGAAGATCTGTGTGCACAGAATCAAACAGTCTGTTCTCTTTGCAGGGAACAGAAGAAGCACTCATCTATTTACCTGCTGTGTGAAGCACTGAAGGACTCACAGTGCAAAGTGAAAAAAATATGGTAAGACCTTTTTTTTTTTTCTCGTAAAAGCCCCTGACTCCCTGATGTTACCCCAGGAATTGTTCAGCAGGGCAGGCATCTCGCTGTCCCAGGCTGGTATAACAAGGGTAGAGACTTATCCCATCACTTAGGATTGTGTTTACATTTCTATCCATCTGATCTTTCACGTCACTCAGTGGTGCTGCAATAGTGGATATTTCCTTCCCCTTGCTTTCCTGGTGCCACCCACCCCTTCTCTCTTTCTTTCTTTCTTTCTTTCTCCTTCCACTCTCACCTCTCTACCCTGCTTGCTACCACAGCTGCTGTTACAGGGAATGCCTTTAGCACAAGGAGGGTCTGGTATTTGGATCAGACAGCAATGCCAGGGCTCAGTTTGGTCCCCTCTCACCAGGCCTTCTACAGCTGGATTGTAGCTGTGGAGCACGCTCTGTTTTAGTCTCCAACTCCTCTTGTTGGGTTTGGGTGAACAGCTGTTTGGCAGGACTCAGGATGGATACGCCTCTCTGAGACTGCCTGCTATAGAGAGCATTGGCCTCAGCAAGACTGCAGTTGCCAGACACAGGTGTGACAATGCACAGCCACACATGTGTGTTTAACATCAGTGCACAAGGGTCATTTTTTCTTTGGTGTTCAGCCTTGATCAGAGCCATATCAACCAGATGTGACCACCAGCAAGCCCCTTTGCACTGGCAGTTCCACAGAACCCCTTCCCCCAAGTGCACAGCAGATTTGACAGCTCAGAGGACCAGCACCAGCACCTGCTGAGTTCAGCTCCTCAT